TATATTAGATATTTTTAAATTAGTTTAGTATAAAATTATTTTAGTATATATAGAGTCACAGATTTAAATTTTTTATCCAAAATTTAGAAATTTCTTACTCTAATACTCAAGACCAACATAGAAAACTTAACCTTCCTTCCTAAAACTCTTGCCACTTTAATAAAATTTATCTTTCTTTGAAATCAGGGCCCTGTATTCCCAAATAATACTCTCGTAATTACTGAAAATCAAGTTATTCTTATTGATAGAGTTAATATTTTAACAACCATGCAAATAGAAGAATACCAGACTCAGAATAATCTGCTTGATGAATACTTATTGATACCAAATTTTGATAATTTTGTTTATTCAGAAAATATCATATTAGAAGCCTTAGTACCAGAAACAGATCTCGAAAAAATTTTAAAAGATTTGACTACCCGAAGTTCTAATACTTCCTTTAGAGCTAACCCTGTAACTAACTCCTCATAGACAGATCAAATAACTAAAATTACAACCTGTTTAAATCAAGAAACTAGAGGAAAACAAAGAGAAAAACAAGTTTGAATATTAGAAGCTTGTTACTATTTAAGAAAACTTTGTTCTGACGATGAAAAAAATTTCAAAGTTATCAAGGAAATTAGGGAAACTCTTAAAGCTACTCTAGGACCCAGATGTACTACTAATATTTGAAAATGTGCCGAACAAGTTTACCAATTTTTTCAAAATTAGGAATTACTATAGCTATACTATACCCAATTCCTCTCGCTTAGTAGTCTAAATATATTATTAGACTAAGACTTTTAGTATTGTTGACTCACGGGGTTCATCCTTAAAGAGGACAAAAATGTTATAGAATGGATTAGATACCTCCATGAGACCCAGAAGATCTCTACGATCATAATGAGCTATAATACATAAAGAATGGACCAATAGTTGGTTAGATAATTAGAAATATACCTTTTATATCTTTTATACCTTTTATATCTTTTACATCTTTTATACTTTTTATACCTTTTACACCTTTTATACCTTTTATATTTTTTATATCTTTTATACCTTTTATATCTTTTGTACCTTTTGTATCTTTTATATATTTTATATTATTATACCTTTTATACTTTTTATACCTTTTCTATTATTTATATTTTGTATAATAATGACATTTTCTTAGTATTTGTAAAAGTATATAAACCTTAGCTTTCTGCCTTCCTGTAGCTTTAGGATTAGTTCCCTGCAATCTTTAGTTATTAGGATTCTCTAGGCACAAATATCTATTGATAGCCTTGTATCTTAAATATTGTATCGTTAATAAATATATACCTTTTGCTCTCTGAATAAACTGTAAATAAACTATACTAAACTGCATTTAGTAAAGTAACATCCTACTTCCACACTACTTCATATCTCTCTCTGTTGTTTTCAAGATTCCTGTTACTATGTGCTGTGTTGCAAGTACTATATTTACAAGAAAACTATAGTCACTTGTAATAATATAATATTCTATAGCTAGAAGTGGATATCTTATTATATTTTTAATTAGTAAATATAAAAAATTATTAATATTAAAAAAATAGTTTAAATTTTTTAAAACTTGAAAATAATAAATAGAATCTAGATATTTTTATAATTGATAATGTAGATGAGAAAATAAAAATGGTGAAGGAAGATTTTTCTAATAGTACTGTGTTGCTATCCCTTAATATGTAGACCAATGCATACAAATTTGCCTATGTTTTTGCACTTTTTTAGCTCTTATTTATTTTTTTAAAATGCCAAAATATTTAAACAAAACTTTGCACAATTATATTTGAAAATAAGAATTTCTTTTTTACAAAATTAGTTTTATAATATAAGAAAAAAAGTTTAGGTTATTTATAAGCTAAAAATAGACAAGTTTAGAAAAATTTTTTAATCAAA